TGTGTGTGTGTGTGTGTGTGTGTGTGTGTGTGTGTGGTAGAAGTATCGGTTTTTGTACTCTGTATCGGCAAGTACTCAGATCCAAGTATCGGTATCGTATTTGAAAAAATTGGTATCGTTGCATCTCTATCTCAATGTTAAACAGCCACAAACTCATTCAGCTGTTGTGGTGTCGCTCATCAGTTTTGGACTCTGCGTATCGAATCATTGACTTTGTTGCAGAGTCATTGCTGTCAGACATCTTTGAAGTCCGTTTGTGGCTCGTGGGCTGTAGTGTGAATACTCGTGGGCTTTCACGTGGACACTGATGATGGACGTTACACTCTGACAGCTGGACTTCATGCTCTTTGCTCTCATCAGCCTGTCCTATCAGAGTGTGAAGCACAGTTTCAGGAGCTGAAAGCGTCACATAATTCTGTGCTCAGGTCTTGAAGCGTAAATCATCCTCGGCTTTATTTTTTGGATGAGCTGGTTTGTTGTGCAGACTTCAGAACATGTCGACAGCAGCTGAAATCTCTCCTCACGGCTCATTTTTACTCGCTTTCATAACATCTCTGCATGCAGCAGGTTAGACTGAGACACACAGTGAGTGTGTGTGTGTGTGTGAGGGTGTTCTTGTTTGCTGCTGTTTGCTTGTTTATGCTGCTGTCATGGTCCGTGACTGAGAACTGGACGGCAGCGAGTGGCGTCGCAGTAAAGCGGCGGTGTTTGGGCGGGCTGGCAGCTCGCGGAGCGTTTCACCGTGACAAACGTGGAGGAACACACACAGAGCTGTGCTGGTGATGAATGCGCCCGTCAGACTTCATACCACTGCTCTGCTGCCACTCTTCACTCGGGCGGAGGGGAAACATCAGTCAGAGCATGAAAAAGAAATGTTTCCATCCTCAGAGGCTCCACAGTCCACACATGACACTCGTCTTTTAAAAACATGCCAGTCGTTGTTTCTGATGATGATGATGATGATGCTGATGCATCCTTGGGCTCCTCTGTGGGCTCTAGAACCAGATCCTGGACTTTACAGCTCAAACCCAACTGGTTTCATTAGGACCTGATTTTCACTGGTTTTATAACTGTGCAAAAATCTTGAGCCACCCCTCATTTCTGTGTATTTTGCTTCCAAGGAGACAGACTCGCGAGCATCAGATCTGAAGCTTTCTTTCACAGTTGTTTGTGAAGGTTCTCAGTCATCCAGCTCGTCGTAGTCTAAGGAGCTCGAACAGAAAAGCGTCTCATCCTAAGATCTCAGAGGTTTTCTTCAGACGTTGCTGCTTTTCCTCTCGTGTTCAGTGTTTCATTTTCAGAAGAATGCTTTTGTTTGTTAAGCCTCTGAACTCTGACCTATGAATCATTTGTGCAAAATGTGGCTCAAGACTTTTGCACAGCCCGTTGAAAACCCTGCCCTGTGATGGACTCTCCAGTTGCTTCCCCAGAGCTTTGTTTTATCGTCAGCTCCATCAGCTGAAGTTATTTTTATACAACTGATTTCGTCCTTGGTGCTAAATAAGAGGCAGCTGAAACACACGGCATGTAGCCGCTCGCACACCGAAGCACAAACATGCAGCACAGATGCTTTAATAACAGACCTGACGATCGATCAGAGAAAGTTTTCTTTCCTTTCTCCCGTCTTTCTGCCGCCCTGCACCTTTGGTCCCTCTGTGCTCGCTCAGAACACGTTTCCGTGTTTGGTTTTCTCTGCTGCATCTCCTTTTGTCTGCCTCTGAAGACGAGTGAGCCGTGGCCTTGACAGAGACGAACTCCAACTCCTCCACAAGCTGCTTTTCTTCCACTAACAGGAGACACGACGCCACATTCAGCCCACCGAGCGAGAAAGCCAAACACGCTCGTCTGAGCTTTAATCAAACGCTCGCAGATCGTTCAGCAGTTAGTGCGACACTGGCTGTGAACTGTGACGATGGGTGCAGCAGGTGGAGGTTTGTGTGAAGCACAGATAAAATGTGAAGAAGCAGAAAGCTCCTCCTGCCGTTTGCTGTCTGTAACCAGTTGCTGTGTTTCTCCTGCAGTCGTGAGCGTGGAGAGTCGCGAGGCTCACCTGAACTCTCTGGTGCTGGAGGCGGAGCGGCGGGCGGTCGACCTGGCGGCTCAGGCTCAGAGGGACGGCCTCTCGCTGGAGGCCTGCCACAAAGACAAACAGCTGAGGGCGTGGGAGTGGAGGTGCAAGCTGTACAAACGCATGAGGACGGGCTTCCAGCACGCACGTGAGTCCGCACGCCGCCCTCCTTAGTGTGTATTTCCTGCCGTCGCTTCCTGTGTGTGTGGCAGCTTAGACAGCCTGATGGGGACACGCGTGACCTTTGCAGCAGATTCGGAGCGCAGTACACGTTCAGCTGGAGGTGTTCCTGTCAACATTAGAGCTGCTACACCCAGAGCTCAGAGGGGGCGGGATTTACACAACCAGCTATAAAACAGAAAGGTTGCGATCGAGACGTGAACGACGTGCGCGGTGAACTCACGGTCTCATTAGAGCAACGTCAGGGTGATTCGACTGAGGTCCTTCTGCAGGCTTCACACAGCGACTAATCACACCTGCTGAAGACGTCAGGCAGGAAACAGGAAGTCAATCACATGTTGCCATAGTTACCTGGAAAACAGTCAGAGCCACGGTCCACACACACACGTTTCACCCTCCTCTCTGTGCCCCTGCTCAGGTGCCCCGGAGGCCCCGTCCATGGTTCGACTGAGCGTGAGCAGTAGCAGCACTCTGACCGTCACCTTCCAGGAACCGCAGTGTCTCAACTCCACTGTGGTGACCAAGTACAGAGGTGAACACACATGTGCATGCACGCACACAGGCCTGGTCCTGTCTGAGAGACTAAAAGGTCAAAGGTGAGGCCATCATTTAGGTTTCGATGTTTGAGGTGAAGCCTTCATGTTGGGTCTGCAAAACCACATTTAAAACGATAAATTAACAAGGTTGTTCTGCGTTAATTTACAGGTTTACTTCACGGTTAAACTCTAAAGCTTCTGGATTTAAACCCCAGATTTATTCTCAGATGATGCCTCAGGTTGTCGTGGTTACACGGAGGAACAGGAAGTGGTGCTCAGAGGCAGGGATGAGGAGGCTAACGTTGCGTCTGTCGATGTGTTCGCAGTGGAATGGAGCTGCCTGAAGGACTTCTCGCTGCTCGCCGGAGAGATGGTGTTGGATAACCTGCAGAGCCTCAAGTGCACCATCAGCAGCCTCACCACGGTAACAAGAGCATCCCTCCTCCGCACATCCACCTGTCTGCCGCTGGCTTTAGTTCACAGTTTCAGAAAAAGGATTGAATAGAGTTTCTGTCACGACGAAGCTGCTGTCGCTCAGGTCGGTCTGTCGTTTGCACGTTTGTCCGCTCGCTGTGATGCATGTGTTCGTTTGCAGCAGGCGCGTGATTTCGGACCTCGGTGATGTCATTGCGCGGTCCCTGCGTTGTGCGTTGGCTGATCGGCGTCTGTGATGCAGACTTGTTTTCGCTGTGCTGCACACACCGAACCACAGCTGCTGTTTGCCATTTAGATCAGCGAGCGGCTTTCACAAACTTCCACGGCGGCCCTGAACTAGAGAGCAGGCTGAAAGGGCCGGAGACGCTGCGAGGGCGAATAATGAGCCGGCGAGGCTCTCGGGCCTCGAACGTCACAGCTCTCATTTACATACTGAATTCATCGAGTCGGGGCCGAGCCGCACGAGGAGCTCGGAGGCCTTTAAGTACTCAGCTGTCCTGGAAGGATTAGACCTGCAGGGCACACACATGGGGGGGCCACGGGGGGCCTGTTTGTGTAGGTGGAAGAAAGCCTGAAGCTGCGAGGAGCTGTGACCGGAACACAGCACAGGTGCAGGTGGTGCAGGTGGTGTTTTTGTAGCCAGGGAGCAAAGTGAAGGTAGGGAGCTAATGATAGCTGATAATATCTCAGCACATGGCGTTAAAAACATTTAATTAGACAGACACAGCAGCGACAGCAGGACGTTTGAATTCCTGGGAAAAAAGATTTTTAACGTTTATTGGTGGGCACAAACGTCGGCCTGGTGGTCTGTGCACGTAGAGACCAGTCTCACAGGCCTGCACACCCAGGAAATATATGTTCCTCTGCTGGTTGCTAGCATGAAACTGGCTTCAAAGAGGTATGACAACCTCTGAGGGGTGGGGCCTGCTGAGGGTGGGGCCTGCTGAGGGTGGGGCCTGCTGAGGGTGGGGCCGAGTTTAAAGAAACCTGAGTGATATTGGGTTAAAGTCATTAGTTTGATGTAACGGAGGCTCCGTCGTTCGGTTTCAGGGATCGAGGCCGCTGTCGGTGAAAAAGCTGCACCCTGCTCTGATTGGATGAGGTCAGCTGATTCAGTGCGAGCCTGAAAGTAAACGTGTTGTTCGTGTTGCTCAGGTGGAGTCGACTGTTTTCTGTGGAGACGTTCTGATGTTTCCAGCGTGGAGACGTGTCCTCGTTACGTTGGCTGAAGGCGAGCAGTCGGCTGTTGATGATGATGATGGCAGTGCTGGTTTTTTCTGTAGACCTCCTCTGAGCTGCTGTCTGTGTGGATGAACAGAAGGGGGCGGAGCACACAGGCTCGAGGGGCTCCAATTAAAACCCAAATTGAACCAAGCAGCAGAGTGACATTTGAAAGGAAACTTTCCTCAAATGTTAAAGCACTTATGCTTTCACGAACTTTTACAGCAGCAAAGGTTTATTTCCACAAAGTGTCCTGATGATATAAAACAGTAAAAATGACTGTCAGAGCATTTTGTTGGTTTTTTTCCAAGGACAGGCTGCCAGAGAAAATAAAGAAACCTCTTCAAACCTTTAGAAAACTTTTTCAGACGTGCACGTCGGAAATGTTCCAGCTTTAAATGCATGAATAAGCAGACAAATGAGTTGGTGAAAAAGCTGTGCAGACGCTTTCACAGCACTCAGTGGGAGTCATCGCATTAACCGACATCTGAGGGATAAAAAGCCAGAAACAGCTCAGTCCCGTCCTGACACATTAATAACAGGAGGCAGGATAAAAAGTCAAAAGTATGTGGACACACTGCTGCAGTTCCAACAGTGGAAGTGTCCACATACTTTTGTTGATGCAGTTATTTTCACCAGAAGTCTTTCTTTCCTCCAAACTCGCCTCTTCACTCTAACAGATGGGTTTCTACTTTTCAGGGTCGGCTCTACTACGTTCGAGTGTCGGCTTATAACATGAAGGGCTGGGGTCCGCCCGCCTCCTCCCTCCCTCCATCTGCTGCTCCATCCAGTAAGTTCTCTCCATATTTTTCCATTAACCTCACCATCTCAGCAGCTCGCAGCTTCTCTGTGACTCTGGAGTTTAACCTCTTTGTGCAGCAGCTGTTTCAGCCTGGTTTTATATTCCTCTGCTGAATAATGCATCATGTAAATGTTACAGGCCTGCAGAGAGCAGATTGACTTGGTGGGGTAAATTGGTTTGTTGCAGTTGCAGAAAAACCACAAACGAGCGAGTGAAACACAAGCTGACGACAGGCGAGGTCGTGCCGCATGTTCTCGGGTGGAGGGCATGTTTCATGTGAGGCTGCAGATATTTCGCCACCTGTGGGTTTAGAATGACTTCTAGCTCCTCCCACAAACAATAGTAACAGATTACTTTCTCCAGGGAGTAACTAGATGCTGATATACGTGTAGGAGGCTAGCTTTGGTTTCCTTCTAGACCAGTTAAAGGTGAGATCGGTTGAAACTGATAAACTACTCACTCGCTCATTTGTTACATTTTTGGAGAGTTTGTGACTGGATGAGCTTAAAGATGTGAGATTCAAAATCCCAACGATGGAAGAACAAGGAGATTGTTAGCAGACGATGTGATGTTGTTGGTGACCTCAGAGACGCTCACAGGGCCACGCGGACTCTTCGGCTGAACTTTGACCTGCCTTACACACAGTCAGAGGCCTGGGACAACCCGCAGGGATCAAGGAAAACCCGAACGAAGCCGAGGATCAGCCGTCAGCAGAGCCGGGATGACGTGACGTGTGACAAAGCACAAATACATGAGTCCGAATGTTAAAACAGGAAGTTTGTGCGGTGTGAACCTGCAGGGTTTGTTCCCGTGGTCGTGACTGAAGTGTGCGTCCACTGTGAATCGTGTGAACATCCTGTTCTGACGTCCTCGGGTCGGGAAAATCAATTTCATCGCTCTGTCACGACTCGCTTTCTCTTTTCCTGCACATTGGAGCTTCAGCCTTGAGCTGTGTGTGTGTGTGTGTGTGTG